TCGTCTAAGTGGCTTCTGCTATAGCTATTCGTATCTCAATCCAATAAATATCTCTCCTCTTATTTATTCTTCTTCTTTTATTATTCTAAGAAGGAATCAGCATTTCGAGCAGAGATGAATGAGGAGGTAGAGCAGCAGAGCGAGTAAAGAAGGGGGCGCATGTATAGTTGTTGTTGACGATTGGAGAGGTGGAGAGGCAAAAAAAAAAAAGAAAAAAAAAGGAGCATTTAATTCCGTTGCCATCGAAATTGGGCAGTACAGAGTCCCCGCTGTCAGAGAGAGCTAGCTAGCTTTCTATGAAGTTACCTGCTTCTTCTCACTGTCCGCTCTTAAGCTAGAGAGTTGACAACTCTGCATCTGTTATTACTGCCTCTGCTGCTGCTGCTGCTGCTGCTTCTTCTGCTTCATCAAAAGGGGGAAAGGAAGGGGAGGGGTTGATATTTAGGAGATCAAGGGAAGATCCCCCGCGCTCTCTCTCTGTTAATTACCTACTATTACCGGCACAAACAAATCAAATTAAGACAGGTAAGTAACTACTTTCTCTTCTCTTCTCTTCTCTTCTCATTCCCCCACCAGGCACCTATCTGCATCCTTCCTATAATTCCACTGTCTTTCCTTTTATTTCCTTTTTCTATACGTAAAGGAGAAAGGAAGATTTAATTATGGAAAGAAGTAAATTCATACATTTCCTTGCTCGTAATTAGAGATGGTACAAGATAAGAATCTCGGGGTGGGGGGGAGCAGATGCATTGCATCTGTGCCTATAATTTGGACATTCATTATAATTCTCTGTGTCTTCTACCGCTCTCTCTCTCTCTCTACTATATACACGCGCGCACGCACGCACGCACGCATCCAGAAATTACTTTCGTAGTCATATTTACGGCATCTCTCCGCACCCATATGCTCTGGTACCAATATTTTTGTTTTCTTCTTCTTCTCCGAATAAAAAGATTATTGTTGCATTAAGATCATTGCCGGTGGGCAATAGTAGCAGCAGCAGAAGTAGAGATCTGCCGCCTATTTATTCACTGGAGAGTGAGGCCCGTCTAGAATTTCAATCCTTCTTTTCTTTTCTTGGCAGCTTCTTCTTCTCCATTTGATTTGAATCCTTCTTTAATTTCTGTCTGCTTTATTTTATTTTAACTTTTTTCAAAATAATAATAATAATAATAATAATAATAATAATAATAATAATAATAATAATAAGAAAAGGGGGTAAGCCGCAGAAGAAAAGAAACGGTGGTTGGTTTCTTGAGATCTAACAGGACCTGTACGCTTGCTTTCTTACAGATAATTACGTTGAAGGGAATGGGATCAAAGCAAGGTGGAGAGGAGGGCATTGTGCTGAATGAGAGCGAGGCTGCGAGTGATGAAGGAGGAGGAGGAATTATGAGGGCGAGAAAGGATGTCGTCGACGGAGGAGGAGGAGAAGATGTGGAAGGAGGGGGAGGATTCAGCATGAAGAGCTTCCTCTGGCACGGTGGTTCCGTCTACGATGCGTGGTTCAGTTGTGCCTCCAACCAGGTAGCTCAAGTTCTGTTGACACTGCCCTACTCCTTCTCTCAGCTGGGGATGGTGTCTGGAATTGTCTTCCAAGTGTTCTATGGTATCCTCGGCAGCTGGACCGCCTACCTCATCAGTGTTCTTTACGTCGAGTACCGAAGCAGAAAGGAGAAGGAGAATGTCAGCTTCAAGAATCATGTCATCCAGGTCCTCCTCTATCTCATTCCCTCATACAAAACCCCTCTTTAATCTCCCTCTGCTAGCTGTTTCGATCTTATCTTTCACAACGCGCACGCCAGCCAGCGGGACTGCATCCACAATAATTATAATACGCCCCTTCTTGTGTTATTTTCTAGTGGTTTGAGGTGCTGGATGGGCTGCTGGGTCCTTACTGGAAAGCCATCGGCCTCGCCTTCAACTGCACTTTCCTCCTCTTCGGATCCGTCATCCAGTTGATTGGTTGCGCTAGGTATTATTATACCTTCCTTCGACTTCCGTTCGTTCCCTCATTCTTCCGCTTGTAATTTTCCAAATTAATGAAAAATCCTGCATGCGCACGCTAATAAATAAAAGTTGGGTAATTGCGATTTTTCGAGGGCAGCAACATATACTACGTGAACGATCGGCTGGACAAGAGAACTTGGACATACATATTTGGAGCGTGCTGTGCAACCACGGTCTTCATTCCCTCCTTCCACAATTACAGGATTTGGTCCTTTCTGGGTCTTGGTATGACCACCTACACTGCCTGGTATCTCACCATTGCCGCTTTCGTCAATGGCCAGGTTACTAGCTCCTCTATAAATCATATTGTGCCTCTTCGTTATGAATTACGATTAAACATGTTAAATTACTTTGTTTAATTATTTGTTCCTATAATTAAAACAACCCCTTCTCCGTTATTTGACCTGGATCCACAGTAGTGATGGTTTTTCCAGGAAACTCATGAGTAATGTTGCACGCACTGCAGGTTGAAGGCGTGACTCACTCGGGCCCAAAAAAGATGGTTCTCTACTTCACTGGTGCCACCAATATTCTCTATACTTTTGGTGGTCACGCCGTCACTGTGTAAGTGCTCAACACGCTCTGCTAGCATCAATTCCTCTCTTTAATTAATTTTTATCTACCAGTGTATGTTTCCAATCAATTTCACAAATTACTCTTCTCGCTCCTCTCTGTTCGACCCTCTCTCCTTTATTTGTCTGCAAAATTTTAAAAAAAGCCGCCAAATCTTAGCAGTACCAAGCAGGCTGTTATCTACGGGTAGTAGTGGTGGTGATGATATCTCCTTCCAAAAGTTCACCTTTTATCATTCCTTCTTTTTCACTTCTCTACTTTTCTTAGAAAAGTGAAAGGGAGGAGGAGCAGGGTAAAGTACAATTGACATAAATGAATGCTATCCAGCATTTGCCAAACATAAAAAATATAGAAGGGTTAAGCTAACCCCTCTAGAGGGATTAAAATGAGTTAAACCCTCAAAATGAGGGGTTTACTAATACTCCTATTTAGAAGGATTAAGAGTTGACCATTCTAATTATTAAAAAAAATAGTAAAAATCATTGTTATTCCCAAATACTAAAACTGATCATAAGGGCTAAAATAAAATTTATTTTTAACGGATTAATAATTTAGTCCTTCAGATTATCGAATGGGCTAAGTACATTAATCTTTCTATTTAACCCTTCTTCCTTAACCCTTTGCCAAACGAGGTCTTAATGAATGATTAAACAATCCATTTAGCTTTTCCTAGCCTGTAGTTATTAGTCACCCCCTTTCAACGCCTCCAAACCATTTTTTTTTATCATTACCTGTTTCGAGCCTTTTCCACTTGAATAGATTCCCTTAATTTCATATTGATGATAAGCCAAAGCTAAAGATCTCATTGCTGTCTGTCATAGGAAAAGTCAATTTTAACTTTAGTGGTCCTGCTCAAATCAGGACACTCTCCTTCAAGTTTCTTCCAAGTCTATTAGTGGTTAGTGGGAACCTATTACAATGTAGAAAATAGACCAGTCAGCTATCATCCTACTCAAAATTTGTAGCTAAGACATATTTTGAGTGAGATGACGGCTCACTAGTTTACTCCCTACGATGCAATCGGTAACCACTAAATAGAATTAGAAGAGTACTGCAGAGGGAATGTGCATGGCTTTTTCTGAGTCTGACTGATCTTTCCTATGGAAGCAAAGAGATCTTTGGATTTGGCATATCAATAACCAATCTAAGAGAATCTTTCCTAAGTGGACAAGGTTTGGATCAAGTAATGATGGTAGAAGATTGTCCTGAAGTGGTGTTTACTTTGTTTCCTTTCTAAATCGTAAAAGTGTCTTTGCATATGGTTAGATGGGGACGAGTCCATTATATCATGTGATTAGATTTGTGATAATTTGCGACCCACTTTCTCTATTGTGGTCATTCGCCTAACTTTTTTTTCCCTTTGTAAGCTTTAGTATCAATTCTTCATTTATTGGAAGTAATCATTAATTTCCATCAGAGAAAATTCCATTCCTACTCTTATTTAGGTGATTATCAGCTAGTTGTAATCTATGAAGCATTAAAATTTTTACCATTTCTAAAAGTGATGTAGCTTGTTGACCATACTCTTTCCTATCAGGAGTCCATTGATAGCACTTTCATCTGAAACCATTGATAGCACTTTCATCTGAAACCATTGATAGCACTTTCATCTGAAATAGGAAGTCTCATGTAAATGTCAACTAGAAGGTCACTTTTGATAATTAGCGGTACATAAATTATCCTTTCTGTCTGATCTCTTCATAATTATGTGCATTTACTGAGCTGAAGTGGAAGTTGTCAGTAATACATTATGCATATAAACCTCCTATGCGATATGCGACTGTTGTTTTTTATTGATCTTAACAACAGTTGAATGTGTCAAGCTATTTGTTTTCATATAAATTGTCAAGTTGAAATAATGTGAAGTAATTTGTTGTCATAACAACCAAGAGTAAAGTAAGGTGCAAAGGCGTTTTGGTCTCTAATAATGATATGATAATAATAATAATATTGGCATCTTCATGTTCCTGTTCATGTGAGCTCAGTAATTAGATCTTTGTTTACTTAAATGACTGATAATTAGTTGGTTGACAATCTAGGGAGATCATGCATGCTATGTGGAAGCCACAGAAATTTAAGTACATCTACCTGTTGGCAACTCTGTACGTGTTCACACTGACCCTGCCATCAGCGTCGGCCATGTACTGGGCCTTTGGTGACCAACTCCTAACTCACTCCAACGCCTTCTCCTTGCTCCCAAAAGATAGGTTCCGAGATGCTGCGGTTATATTGATGCTGATTCATCAATTCATAACCTTTGGGTTCGCCTGCACGCCTCTATACTTTGTGTGGGAGAAGGTGATAGGTATGCACGATACCAAGAGCATATGCCTGCGTGCTCTTGCTCGCCTCCCTGTCGTAATCCCTATCTGGTTCTTGGCTATAATATTCCCATTCTTTGGTCCTATAAACTCTGCGGTTGGTGCTTTGCTTGTCAGCTTCACCGTCTACATCATACCCGCCATGGCTCATATGCTCACTTACCGAACTGCCTCTGCGCGTCAGGTATCATCATCTACTTAACTATCCTCGCCCCTGTCTTTCCTCTTTACTTAATCATGTGACTGCTTTGTTAACTTCATTTTCCCTCCAGACGAAAACATTCTAGGGAGTGTGTGTGTGTGTGTGTGTGTTTTCAACTTCATTTTTGGAAGTGGCTTCCAAGCCAGTTCATCGACAACAATTACGTTAGCATGTCCCAAATCCCTGCATGCACGAGGGATATATATCATCTGTTGGTGTTAATTTGTTCTGTGATATTAGTTTTTTTTTTCTAGATAAAAGGGTAACATCTTGAGGTAGAGTTCACCTCTCCTCTAATTTGGGCGCATGTAGAATGTGGAGCGTGCGGTCAGCGAAATTAATAAATAAACTTGTCTTGGCCTATTCTAAAATGCTGGGCTGTCAAACAGTACAAATTACCGATCGGGTGCACGTACACATACGAGAAGAGTACGATATGATTGTTGGGGCGCCTAATAACACTGAGTAACAATGGAGACGCGCATAGACGTTGAATGGGACTGCCCGCTAGAAACTAGGTAGGAGCTTGGGGCTCACCCAGATCCACCCGTTCCTCTGTTCCCAACTGGAGTCTGATTGAGATGTTTTTGGACATGGTTCACGGCACTTAATGCGTCGTTCGAATGTCGCTTTCACCTCCATAGAAAGAAAACGTATAGCAGTCTAATCAAACAAAAAAGCTTGGCAGGCCCTTCTGCGTTCCATCATCATCAAACAGTCACAAATTATATGCCTAGATGCGTACACATCCGTGCCTGCTTGCACCCACCGCTTCTTCCAACTTAAAAAAGCAAAACCTTAAAATTATCTGCCTATGCCGCAGTTAATACTATTCCTGCTACGCGATGATTCAGAATGTTACTCTCGTTGTTTATGCTGCCGTGTTGTTCTCAACCTCAGCCCTATTGACCCGTTGAAATTTTTCCAAAAAACAGTGTTCATGCTATAGCTGATCTTTGAATCTTAAACATTTTCTATTGCTGCAGCTTTTACTCTTTTGGACTTATATATATTCACTGTTCAAGCTGAAGTAGTATTTTTTTTTGGGTTTTAATTAATACCAGTCGCATTTGATTTGACGATCGTGTTTACTACCAATTCGAGTGCAGAATGCAGCGGAGAAACCACCCTTCTTCCTGCCAAGCTGGAGTGGGATGTACGCAGTGAACATATTCATAGTAGGGTGGATAATGGTGGTGGGATTTGGATTCGGAGGATGGGCCAGCATCACCAACTTTGTTGAGCAAATCGACACCTTTGGTCTCTTTGCCAAGTGCTATCAGTGTGCTAAACCCCCGCTGCCCGGGGCTCCTGCAACCCATCACTGAACCAACGGAAGACCAAAAAATAACAGTTCGGTCGGTCAGTCAGTCAGTCGGACGGACGGGCGATTCTACCTAGCTAGCTAGCATCTTCTTCTTCTTTTTAACTCACACCAAGCCTCTTCATCACCTGTGGTTACATCAAAACATCGAGGACGCGTCATCAATCGTCAGCCCCTCTGTGTTAAAGTCTGCTTCCGTTGTGTCCTGTTTGTGTTGATCTTTGCGCGTGCGTTTTGGTTGTTACCTAGCTAGCTAAGTTCGATTCATTAGTTGGCTATATATCTTTTTTGACTTTCTTAATTACAGAAAGGATTCAAGTCTAGTTTGACGGCACAGTAATGTATCTTATTATATATCAATCAACGTTTTATCATCCAAATATAGCCTCGCTGATCGATATTTTCTAATGTTTACTGGATTACATTCTTAGTTGATTGGAAAGATTAGGATTTCAATTAATGTTTTCAATCATGCTACTCTGTGACAGTAGAGGAATTTTGCCCACCCCCCCATCTGTTAACGTGCATCTTCATTTTGTACCAAATTTCTGGCCAAGCAAATGGTGTTCACAACTATTTTTAGTCCGTACATTGGCAGCGGATCGAAGTTATAGGATCCGGATCCAAATACCATTCATCCTCATTCATTAAAAAAATAAAAGCCCAAAATCGGCCCCCCACTTGCGTGTGCCCTATTAAAGAGACGCTCGTAGCAGGTGACTTAGGCGAGCTTGGGCCCGGCCCGTCCCGAAGCTCAACGGGCCGGGGTTTGGACGCTCGCAAGCCCAAAATCAAAGGGCTAAGCTCAGCGCGGAGACGTTGGGCTCGCCCAAGCTCACGCTTGACCCCTGGCTACGTCTACTTTGGTGGGAAAGGTAAAGTATCAGGGGTCTTGTTTGGAACTCGCGAAAATGTTTGGGGATTTTGTAAAATTAATCCTTAAAATGTTGGGGGAGTGTTCTGTAGTACCCTCATGATCTTTGTTTCTCTCATGTAACCTCTTGAATTTTGGGGGGTCTCGTGAAACTCTCATGATATTTAACCTCATCTTTATCAATACACTTAATTTACAAATAATTCTTAAACTTGTCATTAGTAGGCAGTATACTCCCTCCATTGAACTTTGGATCTTTTTTAGTTCACGGGAGTTGTGTGCAACTCCCTAAAAGAGCGGGGGGATTTTGTGAAATTAGCCTTTAAATATTCGCCCGAGATAAACACGAATGTAGATCGATTTGTTTTTATTATAATATATAATAAATTAAAGAAGAAGGATTAAAAAAAAAAGGGAAGAAGGAAAGGAAAGAAAAAGAGGGGATGCGAGGATAGTAGGGCTGAGGCGACAGCGTGCGGCGGCGGGCGGCGGCAGCAGCAGCAGGGAGCGGAGCAGGAGCAGAGCGATGGCCAGCCTGTGAGAGGCGGTGATGGATCGGGCCTTCATCGGAGGATCAAAGCCCAGGCGTTGAATTCTGGTCGAACCCGGAGCGGAGCGGATTTGCCTGAATCAAACAAGGGGAGTACATCAAGACGTGGAGGCGTCGGTGGTTCGTCCTGAAGCAGGGGAAGCTCTTCTGGTTCAAGGAGCCCACCGTCAACCGGGCCTCCGTCCCCCGCGGCGTCATCCCCGTCGCCAGCTGCCTCACCGTCAAGGGCGCCGAGGACGTCCTCAACCGTCAGTTCGCCTTCGAGCTCTCCACCAGCTCCGACACCATGTACTTCATCGCCGACTCCGAGAAGGAGAAGGAGGAGTGGATCAACTCCATCGGCCGATCCATCGTCCAGCACTCCAGATCCGTCACCGATTCCGAGGTAGTTGACTACGACAGCAATCGCAACGCCCCATCCCCATCCCAGTCCCAGTCCGATCCCGATCACCAACAGCAGCAGCAACCGCAAAGCAGCGGCTAGATCCATCCAATCCATTGATCTGTACGTGATCTGCTGTTCTTCTATCATCATCATCATCATCATCATCATCATCATCTTAATTATATGTATATTACTACCTATGGTCCTCTCCTTCTCTCGGTTCTCCCCAAATAAATTGTGGTGTGCATATCTATGTGTAATCAAATATCTGTGTACAAACTGTTGGTTTGCTTTCATCTGCCCTCTTTTAGAAATTGTTCCCCTTTCTCTCTTCTGTTTATGCTCTGCTGCAGTTCTGACCGTATTGCTGCTCCTGGTATTATTATTATTAGTTACTCTATACTTCTGCTAGGCAGCTCTACTTTGTGTTTGGTTCGGATGCTGAACATGGGATGTATGCCTACAGATGTACTTGCTCTGTTTCATTTTCGAACATTGCTGGAGCTGTTACCACAGTAGCCTGTATTTGACGCGCCCAATTAGGTTTTTTTTCCCTTCCCAAAGGTTTTGTGCATTATGTTTCACTTGTATTTTGTCATTCTGTCATCTGTTTTTTTTTCGCTACGTGCTTTTCTAGCCGATCGTTCTTCCACACTTGAGCTGTTTGTGCTTTTAATTTTACATGGTTAGTCCATGGCTAGATACATTTCATTAAGTTACCTATGAAGTTATATTCAATGCTTAGAGACAAAAGGATTGGGAGCTTAAGTCACTTATTAGGATGAACGTGCAGATGGAAGCCCTTTTTTTTGTGTGTTAGATATGACAACTATTCTCTAGACCACAACTAGTATACGCGGATTAACGAAAGAAGGGAATGTGGAGATGGGAGTATCCCTTCGGTTCCTAGCACCATGACTTTTTGATTAACCAAAAAGTCCTATTTCTCTAACATGGAAAGTTCCTCCGATCCCTATGATATATCTTGTTATCGTATCATGTTCTCTATATTAGAGTTCTTCCATACAAACTATCACAACTCACAAGACATGGAATCTTATGCCGACATGGGTTCTTCCTTAAAGCCTTACATAAAACTAAGGTTTCTAGAGTAAAGGAGAATGATGATAGGATATCTCAATGCTGACTGAATACGATGGAAGAGGTAAACAGTTGAATATTGGAGTCTTTTAAGTATTTACCGAAAGAACTTTCTCTTTTCTTTCTTTTTCCCCCCTCTATGGTTGTGGCTGTCCATGGTTTGAAGCTGTTAACAAGCTGGGTGTAAATGTTGCAAAAGTCCTAGTTTCCATTTTAGGTATGCTTTTTTGGAAAGAACATGAGTAGAATGAACGTGACTCACATTATCTATCTCTTTCAGAAGTGCGCCTGCATGGGGGTTGGTCGATACTTATTTGAAGAACCATGGGAAAGTGAGACCTACTGTTACTGTGCAATTCATTTCTTCAAGATGAATCATGAAACCAGCTTAACCATGCTACATTACCTACTATTAGATAGTTACTCTCTATAACAAGGCGCCTTAGTTGACAGGGTGATCGATGCCTTTTGGAATTATCTATTGAGAGATTGCTGATGGATTTTGGGCGGCTTGCCTCTAGAATGATTGTAGCCCAGGCCCACTGCTAAACTCTGCAATATATAGGAGAGCTCAAGAACTTGTTTACACCGAAGCCTCCTAGTCGATTGAAAGCAAAAGCAAGGTTTAGAGGTTTACTGGTGTGTGTCTCTCCACTAAACACATATCGAGTTAAAATCCGCTAGTACTAGAGTTTTTCTGCTTGCAACTCCCAGTTACTGAGAGAACGCGATGGGTATTCTGCCAATGACGAAACAAACAGAATTATAAATGGTGGCAACTAAGGACAGTATTTCCGTACTTTTTTTTCTAGATAGCTGATTGAGTTGTGGGCTTTGCAGCTGCCCAAGGACCACCTGAAGGTTTCCATGATTTCAGACCCGTTAGAGATAGAAATAGTATTCGAGCTTATGAAACTCTCCTGGCATGTTAGTAATAACTCATCCTAGTCTCGTTCACCTATGTCAGTAGTTTAGTTGTTTTCGAATCACTCTTCTTCCAGACTCTGGATTTATTTTCATTTCCCGTTCCTGGTGATCTATCCTATCTTACACTTGGATTTAATTTACTCCTTCCCATAGTTCCACTGCTTTTCTTTTTCACATCAGATGTGGTGATATATTTTCATAGTAAACTATTTTTAGTTTGCCGGTAGGTAATCCATTTTTGTTTTTAGTCAAACTCCTTCAAATTGAACATATTATGCCGGTACATGTCTTTTTATTATGGAACAATTTTTTTTTTTTTTGAGAAAAAGGATGGATTACCACAAAGGTAATCCAGCCAGCTAAATTAACAAAAATGGTTGTTACATAAAATACTCACCCCCAACCAAGAGTGAGTATTACAGTCCATATCAGCAACTACATACAAAGAAGAAAAACACCACCCCTCTGTACATACTCAAAAGAGGGAAGATCAAAAAAGATCTAACAAAAAACCAAAAGAAGAGCAGTTCACAATGTAACTGAGTTTTTAGTTTTAGAAAACAAAAAACATCACAGCTGCACCTTTTGTATCTCATCACTCTAGCTGAATCACCAAACTCTCCACATTTCTATCTTCATTTCTGGCCACTCCAGCAGCTTGGAGGCTAACAGCATTCCTCTTTTTCCGCCTCTCCTTCAGTCTAGCAGCTCGAGCAGAGACTCTTTCAGCACCTAGCCAAAAAGTTGCGAAGGTCATAATTTTGTTCAAGAGCTCAAGGGACTTCTTCTTTTTATCTGAAAAAATTCTATCGTTACGTTCTTGCCAAATGCACCAGACCAAAGAGCAAATGATCACATCCCTTTTCAGTTTACTATTCGCAATATCTCCAGTCTTCCAATTAAGCCAAATATCTTTCAAAGAGTCTAAACTAAAAGTATTCTCAGTCTCCAATTTGAATTGAATCGATCTCCATATTGAGTAAACAAACTCACATTTGATGAAAAGATGCGTATGATTCTCCTCCAATTTAGAACATAAACAACAAGTTTTATCCAAGATGACTCCTTTCTTTTTCAGCACATCCTTTGTATTTAAGCTTTGTCTAAGTGCCAACCAAACTAGAACTTTCACTTTTAAAGGGATAGGAAGCTGCCATAAATTTGCACAATCATATCTTACACCCCCATCAATTAAAACTTGATAGAAAGACCTCACTGTGAAATTCCCTTTTGTCTCCCAAAGCCATTTCCTTGTATCCTCCTTTTGCTCTAAACAAATGGAATTTATTAATCTCATCATAGAGCAATATTGGGGAACCAGAACCCCAACAACTTCTTTCTTAAACTGAATGTTCCATCTCCACAAATTATCCTCTTTTTTTAACATGCTATTAATAGCAGCAAAAGGATACAAAGTAATCGCAAATAAGGATGGAAATAAAGAAGACAGAGTAAATGAGCCTAACCATTTGTCCAGCCAAAACAAAGTATGGTTTCCATTTCCAACTTCCACCTGAGAATTGCATAGAAAACTTTCAAAATTAACACTAAAATTTCTCCAAAAGCATGATAGAAGTTTTCTCCCAGAATGAATATAATCTGTCCAGCTTTTCTTTTCAAAATATTTGTAAAAACTAATCTGTTTCCAAATGCCAGGCTTTCCATCAAACCATTTCCAAAGCCATTTACCTAAAAGAGCTTTATTCATGATTCTCAAATTTATTATGCCTAAGCCACCACAGTGTCTAGGTCTACATAACTCCTCCCATTTCACCAAATTAGTGCATTTTTTGTTGTCTAAAGATCCAGTCCATAAGAATCTTCTCCTTATTTTATCAATTTTATCAATAATCCATGAAGGAAAAAGAAAAAAAGAAAGCCAGAAAATTGGCATAGAAGATAGAACTGAGTTGATTAAAACTAGTCTACCTCCTCTTGATAAAGATCTGCCTTTCCACAAAGATAATCTCCTTTCAATTTTATCAATCAAAGGGAGCCAGTCATTTTTCTTCAATTTACCAGGCCTTAAAGGCACTCCAAGATAAGTAATAGGAAAATTTCCACCTCTACAATTCAACATAATAGCCAAATTCTTTTGTAAAGGTTCATTATTCTCAAGAGTGATAAGAACACTCTTATTGAAATTAATCTTTAACCCTGATGCCAACTCAAAGCAATACAAAATCAGTTTCAACACTATTAACTGTTCTCTTTTATTTTTACAAAAAATCAATGTATCATCAGCATACTGTAAACAAACAATTTTATGATCCATATTAACAGGGCCTAAGCCTTCAATAAGATAAGAGTTAACTGCTAAAGATAACATTCTGGTAAAAGCATCAGCTGCCAACACAAAAAGAAGTGGTGACAAAGGATCTCCTTGACGAACACCTCTTTTAGACATAATCCAACTTCCAGGTTTACCATTGATATTAATAGCAGACATGCCTCCTTTTAAACACATATTCATCCAATTAATACATTTCTCACCAAAATTTTTAGCCTTTAAAACCTCCAACATAAAATCCCAGTCTAACATATCATAGGCTTTTGAAAAGTCTAATTTTAAAAGAATTCCTCCTTTTTTGTTATTTTGGAAACAGTCATCAATGATCTCTTGAGCTGCAGCTACCCCATCAATCAGCAGTCTGTTCTTAATAAAACCAGACTGAACTGAATCAATAAGCCACTCAAGTTTAGGGTTTAATCTATTTGTCAAAACTTTTGTAATAATTTTGTAAATCACATTAAGGAGACTGATAGGTCTAAAATCATTAACAGTATTAGCCTCATTTTTCTTTGGAATAAGAACAATATGAGCATAATTAATTCTGTTAATCTCCAAAATACCTTCATAAAATTCCTCAAAAAGCCTCATAATATCCCTTTTCACAGTCTCCCAAAAGACTTGAAAAAACAAAGCAGGAAAACCATCAGGACCAGGGGACTTATCACCATTCATATCAAAAATGGCTTTATGAATTTCTTCCTCAGAAAAAGGAATTTCAATATCCCTAGGACTCCAATCAACAAAAGGGAATAAACCATTCCAATCTAGCTGACATCTATGAGGCACCTTTTGACCAAATATCTGTTTGTAATGTTCTGAAAAAATCTGAGCTATACCAAACTCAGAACTTACTTCAACATCATTATGCATGATGGAAGAAATCAAATTATTCCTCTTCCTACCATTGGCAATTTTATGAAAATATGCAGTATTGTTATCCCCTTCTTTAAGCCAATGAGCTTTTGATCTTTGTTTCCACATTTGCTCCTCTTGAAGCAGAGTCTCATTTAATTGGATGATAATCTCATTTTTTTTAATTACTTCATCATCCTCTAAATCTCTATTCTCCTCCATAACATCCCATTCTAGCAGACTGTCCAACAGATCTTTCTTTTTTTGCTTAACACTATAAAACTTTGAATGTACCCATTGCTTGATACACTTTCTCATAAATCTTAGTTTACCCACTATGTTTTTAGCAGCAGATTCACTCTTAGGAGCACAATTCCACCAGATAGGTACACTTTTCATAAAATCATCAGACTGTAACCAAATTTTTTCAAATCTAAAAATTTTTACTTGCTGTTGATTTTCCCCACAGTCAAAACTAATAGGAGCATGGTCAGATAATTGGCTACTGAGACCTTGTTGTCTAGAAAAAGGAAAGAAATCTTCCCATTCAGAGTTAAAAAAAACTCTGTCAAGTCTGGCCATAGAAGGAGATCTTCTTTTATTTGTCCAAGTAAACTTTCTTCCATGAAGAGGACTATCTATTAATTCCAACTCATTAATCACTTCTTTAAAATCTTCCATATCTTTTCTGTGATTAGTTTTTCCTTTCCTTTCTGCAGAATTAATAGTGACATTAAAATCACCAACCACAACCCAAGGTCCAGAAAAGGAGTTTTTAACATCTCTCAGTTCTTGCCAAAAAAGAACTCTCTCCTTATTACAATGAGGACCATATACAGAAGAGATGGTCCATATAAATCCATTCTTCTTATTTTTTAACATAACTGACAAAACATGTTTACCAGCAATTTCCTGATTTTTCTTCCACACATTGTTATTCCAGCCAACCATAATTCCACCAGAAGCCCCATTAGAAGGTACAAAAGCCCAATCATACATGTTTCCTCCCAGACTTTTAAAAATATTGTCTGTACAACAACTTAACTTTGTCTCTTGCAAACAAATTATTTCAAATTTATTCAATTGACAAAAATCTTTAACTCCAAATCTTTTTGAGCTCAAGCCCAATCCTCTTACATTCCATGTAACTAACATAGACAACAAAACAAACTCCTCAAATCAAAACAAATTATGGAACAATTTTTGTTTATAGGATCTTAGAGTGTATGTTATTTTACTTGCTGCATTTTTGTTCCCCTCATATATATATAAAATCCAGCTTAGATATTTTATGGTTGGAGATAGAGTGCTTTATTGATCTAGGAGATTAACAACTCAGTATTTCTCCTTTATGTGATCTGTGGCTTGTTAATTGTCCTCTCAGCCTTCATCGCTCATTGCAAATCAAGTGTTGATCTGATCGATCGGTTTGACTTTTTTTCTTCTTCTTCTTGGTTATCATTTTCAGGTTGCCTCTCCCGTTTTATTCCATGTGTGGCAGTTAAGACGTGTTTTTCCAAGTGGTAGAACACTTGTTTATTCTGTGTTGTTCTCCTTTTCATTGATGTTTTTGTTAATTATTGAATGACGTTATTATGGCTTAATAATTACTTTATTAAATTTTTGGATCTGCTGTCTTGAGATCTTGAGGAAGGGTGAGATTTAAAACTCTTTGGCGGATGCAACCTTTAGATGGGAGTATACAGATTGGACAGGGAGGCATTTTGTCAACAAGTTGGAAGCTTTGGAAGAGTGGCGTGTTGGGGGTAAAATGCAAATACCGCGGAGGACTCCGCGTGAAATGAACGTTATTGATGCGGGAAGCTTGCTTACTTACCCCAGTCCGCTTGAAACAAACAAACGTTGCGAACCAGCTGACGAGGAGACGTGTTGACATCCATTCCTGATCTTTTTATGGTTGGGGAATGGGGACAGACTAAACCCATTTTAGGCAGATATTTATTCTACTTTTTCCCCGTGCCGTGCTCGTGTTATTGCGGTGTGGCTTTTAATTTTGGACGCTAGATGAGAGGATTTGGGGATGAGTAGCAAGTCCGCGCCTCCCTTCAGTGGCTGGCTGCTACGAATCAAATGATTGAGTTGCGGTCATATCGTATGGCATGAAATAGTAAGGGGGCTCGCTAATCCTCCCCACCCACCCCCGAGTCGGCGCCACCATCTGACGTGACATTGGCGCGCTCGCTTCTTTTTATACCATTTACCCTATCTATTTGTTATATATTTAATTGTAATCTTTAATATATTTATGCTCTCGCATCAAACTCCTCCCTTCTGTGTTCATAAAAAAAAAAAAAATAACCTGTCCCTCCCTCACTCACATAATGGCAACGGCTCCGATCATCACCCAGCATGCTCATGGTCATGCCCCCATCTCAGTCAAAGTGAGCAGTGGGAATAAGAATAGGAGTAGTAGTCAGCTGTTTTCTGACACAAACAAATCCCGACGCGGTCGCCCCTGCGACCATCCAGTATTGAGGCTCCTTGAAGACCACTACAAGAGCAACAGGCTTGACACCTCCCACGTTCAAGGCAGATCCACGCCTCATGCTCTGCTCCCGTCTCTCACCTCTTTCCTCCCACCCTTAACTCCTCCACATGCTCCTCACCGCCATCTCCTCTCTCCCTTCCGCGACCTTCTCTATGCCCTCGCTGTTCGATCAAATCCCTCAGCCAAACCTCTACGCTTGGAACATCCTCATCCGCCCCGACGCCTCCCCTCCCCATTTACCCCAGCCCCGCTCTCCCTCGCCCTCTTCTCCCGCCTCCTCCTCACCACCACCCACCTTCCCGACAATTTCACCTTCCCCTTCGCCATCAGAGCTGCCTCCGTCCTCCCTGCCCCCCGCTTCGGGGCTGCTCTCCATGCCATGGTCTTCAAGTCCCCTCCCCATTCCTCCGACGTCTTCGTTCTTAATTCCCTCGTCCACTTCTACGCCTCCTGCGCCGACCTTAACCTCTCCTTCCGTGTCTTCAGCAGCATCCCACACAAGGATGTCGTTTCTTGGAACTCCATCATCACAGCTTTCTCACAGGGAGGTCGATGTGACGAAGCGCTGGAGCTGTTCCGGCAGATGAAGGATACTGCTCACGTCAGACCTAACGATGTCACTATGGTCAGCGTCCTTTCTGCTTGCGCCATGAGGGGAGACCTCGACTTTGGGAGATGGCTGCATTCCTACATCAGGGCTAATGATATTTCTGACAGCTTGATACTCAACAACGCAATTCTCGACATGTATGTTAAATGTGGGAGCTTGCAGGATGCCAAGTTGTTGTTTGATCAGATGGTTGATCGCGATTCCATCACATGGACAACATTGCTTGTTGGATATGCAAAGTCGGGAGAATTTGATGTTTCCAGGAGGCTTTTTAATGAGATTCCTAGCCGTGACATTGCCTGTTGGAACGCCCTCATCTCAGGCTACGAACAGAATGACAGACCGAAGGATGCCTTGGCCCTGTTCAGTGAATTGAAAGATGCTGATGAGAGGCCTGATCAGGTCACTCTGGTTGCTGCGCTCTCAGCATGTGCACAGTTGGGTGCAATAGATACTGGCTGTTGGATCCATGCATTCATTAGGAAGAACAACTTCCATCTGAATTTTCATCTGACGACCTCCCTTATCGACATGTATTCCAAGTGTGGAGAGCTTGAGAAGGCAGTTCAAGTGTTTGAATCCGTTGACGAGAGAGATGTGTTTGTATGGAGTGCCATGATTGGAGGGTTTGCAATGTACGGAAGAGGAAGAGATGCTCTGGGTCTCTTCCTGCAAATGCAACAGGCAGGGGTGAAACCCAACAAAGTAACATTTACTAACATCCTGTGCGCATGTAGTCATGCGGGGTTGGTTGAAGAAGGCAGATCCTACTTTAGCAAGATGCTTGCTGTGTACGGGATTGCGCCTGATGTTGAGCACTATGGGTGCATGGTTGACATCCTTGGCAGGGCCGGCCTTTTAGATGAAGCCAGGGACCTGATAGAGAACATGCCGATGCCATCCCCTGCTTCGGCATGGGGAGCATTGCTTGGATCTTGTGTGGTTCATAAAGATGTACAACTGGGTGAGCTTGCATGCAAACGCCTCCTTGAGCTGGAGCCGGCAAACGACGGAGCTTATATCCTTTTGTCTAATCTGTACGCCAAATCAGGGAAATGGGACTCTGTTGCAAGGTTAAGAAAGCTGATGAAGGATAGAGGGCTGAAGAAAGAACCCGGCTGCAGCTCAATCCAAGTACACGGTGTCCTGTATGAGTTTCTAGTGGGAGACGTCTCTCACCCTCAATCCAGACAGATATACCTGAAGTTGGAGGAGATTATGAAAAGATTAAAAACATTTGGTTATGTGCCGAACAAGACACAACTTTTGCAGAATATCGAGGATGAGCACGTCAAGGAACAGGCACTATACCTGCATAGTGAAAAGTTGGCTATTGCTTTCGGGCTTATCAGTACGAGTGATCGTGTGCCGATTCGAATTGCGAAGAATATGCGGATCTGTGAAGACTGTCACTCTGTTGCCAAACTTGTATCCAAAATTTACAACCGCGAGATATTTTTAAGAGACCGATATAGGTTTCATCATTTCAAAGGCGGACGCTGTTCATGCGTGGACTATTGGTGAAATAGTGATCGAGTTCCCCCCTGGATTGGGAAAGCTTTTGTAGTCGCCTGGTAGCACGTGTGGGCTAACTTAGAAATGTCAATTGACTATTATGAGAGAACTGAAATGGAACTGATCCCTTATCAGCAAGTACAAGCAGCGGTGTCTTCTGAGAATGCCACGACGCACAGGTAACATTGTTTCCCTTGAAAGGGACATCCGCCGGAATACGCTTTGAAAGCTATCGACCCTCGTCAGGGGCGGATCCAGGATTTTAGTTCTGGGGGGGCCGCGTACAAAAGATAGATAAAAAATTTTCTTAATGTAATTTTATTCACAAGAGATATACCACAACCCACATAAAACGAGTAGAATAGCCAACATCAATATCTCCAAAATATTTCAAAAGAGGAAGATAAATATTATATAGAAAATAGTCAAATAAGCATCATCTATTTTTTTATAACTAAAATTTCTCTAACTAAAAGCAATTCGACGTTCCTTAAAATTTTCAAAGCCTTCAATGATAGCATCAATGCTCAGACTTTTAGCAATTTCTCTTTCAATAAACACCATTAATGCGTCGGAGAGGAAAGCATCCTCCATTTTGCTTCGAAGTCTAGTCTTGACGATATTCATAGCTGAGAATGATCGTTCTGCAGTAGCGGTAGAAACTGGAAGAGTAAGCACAAGTACGATCACTCTAGAAATGAGGTCGTATGTAGCAGATTTATTAGTCTTTACCAACTAAGCACAAGTACGATCACTCTAGAAATGAGGTCGTATGTAGCAGATTTATTAGTCTTTACCAACCATTAACCCAACTCAGAAATGGTTGAAAGAGTTTTGAAGTCTGACCCTTTGATTACATTATGCTCATAATGTTTCAGTTGCATCTTCAAACTCTCTTTTTCTTCACTTGTAAAATCTTGTGCATAAAACTTGCCAACCAATTTGCATATATCTTGTATTCTCAAAGCCTCAGATGCATTTTGAGGATTTAAGGCAGAACTAAGCATGAGCAATTCTGTCGCATCTTCACTAAAACGCACATTAATTTCTTGCATTTGTGAATCGATCGCGACATAAAGAAAGCCTAATCGATAATGATGCCCAATGGTGATGTCTTGATGACCACCACGAGCTCATTCTGCCCATTCGCTAAATAGCTCTCCATAAATTTCCAATTTCAATGAAACCTCCTTTATTAATCTTGTTGCTACTCATGATAATATATTTACTATTAATATATACATAAAAACCCTCAAATAATTAATATTCACAAACTAATTTTTTCCCCCAAATTAGGAATAGAGCACCCTAATTTTTCCCCCAAAAATTTTGAGGGGGCTTGAGGAATAGAGCACCCTAATTTTTCCCCCCAAATTTTGGGGGGGGCCGTGGCCCCCCCTGGACTGTATGTAGATCCTGTTGCGCGCAGCGGAAATTTCGGCAGCACTTCGGCAGCACAACAAGAGAGTCAGATCGCAATAAGAATTCTTGTTTCTCAAAGGGAACAAGAATCTGAAGCCTATATCCTATCAAAGTAGGATATTAGCTCTTCCTCTCGTCAGCTCTAGGACTGCGCGTCGAGGGACCCTAAAAGCTATTACAAATCACACAAAAGCAGTACAACCAATTTTAACGTGGTTCGGCAAATTGCCTACGTCCACGGGGCAAGGAGGGGGGAGATCTACTAATAGAGGGAGAGAATACAAATAGGGTTTACACAAGAATCCAACAAATAAAACCCTCACACAAAACTCTCAGACCTCTCACACAAACTCTCTCTACAAAAGATGCTCAGAACCCAAAGGAGAGAAAAAAACCTGTAGCCGTACTGCCTCCTCCGCTCCAAAAAACCTAATAAACAAATGTTTATATATATGCAGCAGTGCGGTTCGTGGGCCGGCTTCACCTCGGTTCCGCGGAAACGAATCCGCGTCTCATTTACGTGGTAGACCCCACAAGACGCGTGGAAAGAACGCGTTCACAATTCTCCACCTCGGTGAAGTTTCTTTCAAAACTGAGCCGACACCAAAGCATCCAAATGTCCCAACTTTTGTGCCCAGTACGAACTCAATCCACAACAAGTCGGGAACCAGAACGAGAGTCCAAACAATCTCACCCCATTTTTCCAATTTTTCTGAACAAATAACCTATATATACCCCTTGAAAAGACAAGTTTTTAAAGTTTGAAAACGTTTAAAAACGGCCAAAAACTGTCAGATATTCAAATTCTGAAAACTGAAAAACTGTCTCTTGTAGTCGACTACTGTAGTCATTAGTCGACTACACTGAGTTCAGACAGACTCTGTGTTTTCGGAAAATGTTCTCAGTAGTCGACTATAATGATAATTAGTCGACTACACTGAGTTCAGACAGAAACTTGAAAATTTATATTTTTCTTCAGTAGTCGACTACTGTAGTCATTAGTCGACTACACTGTAAAAAGACAGAAACTTATGTTTCTGTCAAACATCTCAGTAGTCGACTATAATCTCTATTAGTCGACTATACTGTAAAAAGACAGAAACTTGTATTTGAGTTATATACATGAGTAATCGACTACTATCCTAATTAGTCGACTATTAAGATCAAAAATTCAGAAATAATGAGTTTTTATAATTAAGTTTTAACTATTATTCTAATGGTTAACATAGGGGATTTCTATAGTTAACCAACACACTAAGCCTGTGTTAGTGTATTCTAAAAATGTGTGTGTGTGCGTGTGTGTGATCAAGGCTTGTACAAATATTCTAAGCAAAGAAAAATTCAAATACATTATCTTTTGTTCTTCATTTTCTTCACTTCAAAATGCCTTGATATTCACTTGCACTTGTACATATTCTGATATTGAAATCTGCATATGAAAGTTAGTGCACACAAAATATAAATTGTTATCATCAAAACATTATCATGGAGAAATGATATTCAACAATACTTACCGCCTGTGACAAATCTGGCCTCGTACATACCATCGCGTACATCAAGCTCCCAACCGCGCTCGCATATGGAGTCTTCGACATCAACTCACGATCTTCAACTGACTTCGGTGAGAGACCAGCTGAAAGCTTCAAATGGGCTCCCAATGGTACACTAACTGGCTTCGTATCCATGCTAACATGGAATCGCTGTAGAACTTTCTTCAAATAAGCCACCTGTGTCAAACAAATTCTGCCATTTTTCTTGTCTCTGCCGATCTCCATCCCTAAAATGCGCTTCGCCTCGCCCAATTCCTTCATCTCAAACTCATTTGAAAGCTGAACTTTCAACTCATCTATAGCCGACCTGGAAATAGAGGCAACCAACATGTCATCGACATAGAGCAACAAATAAATATACGCACCTCCTTTCAACTTGCGAAAATATACGCAAGGATCAAACTGGCTCCGAGTGTACGAATGACCAAGCATAAAACCATCGAATCGCCTATACCACTGTCGAGGAGACTGCTTCAAACCGTATAGCGATTTCTTCAGTTTGCAAACTAATTTTTCTTTCCCTGCAGCTCGGAATCCCAATGGCTGAGTCATATATATTTCTTCATCAAGATCACCATGAAGAAATGCCGTTTTCACATCCAACTGATCTAATTCCAAACCATACTGTGCCACCAAAGCTAGCAAAATCCGAATCGAAGAATGCTTCACCACCGGAGAGAAAACCTCATTATAGTCAATACCTTCCTCCTGTGCATAGCCCTTCGCAACCAACCTAGCCTTGAATCTCAACGGAGTGCCTTCAATGCCCTCCTTCTTCGTGTATACCCACTTGCAACCAATTGCCTTCCGCCCCTTTGGAAGCTCAACAAGCTCCCATGTATCGTTCTTATGAAGAGATTCCATCTCCTCCTGCATAGCCACCTGCCACGAATCAGCCTCCGAACTCTGCTCGGCCTCTCTGAATGTAGTAGGCACTAACTCATCGATACTCTCCACCGGAAGTGCATACGCAACTGTGTCGGCATACCGTGCTGGCATCTGTATGTTTCTCCTCTGTCTCCTAGCCGCAATAGAATCCTGAACCTGAGCCGTCGGTTCCTGATCCTGCACATTTGTACTCGTATCCTCCGTGTCATCGTCGTGCTCGCCTGGCGTCACCTCAGTCGGCACCTGCATGGATACTGTACCATCTGGACAATGTGGAGCTGCATCGATCTCCACCACCTGCGATATCTCCTCCGTCGGGTCGCTCTCCACCTGATGAGAGCTGGGAAGCTTCAAGATAGAAGCCTCATCGAATGTGACATCCCTACTCAGCACAATCTTCTTATCCACTGGATCCCAAAGCTTGTATCCCTTGACACCACGCTTGAATCCTACAAATATGGCCTTCCTAGCTCGAGGTTCCAATTTATCAGTTCTAACATGATAATATGCAGGGCACCCGAATACCTTGAGCTGGTCATAGTCATGTGCTGGCTTTCCCGACCACATCTCCATAGGGGTTTTCCCCTCAATCGCAGATGAAGGCAGCCTATTAATGAGGTGGCTCGCATATGTAAGTGCCTCAGCCCAAAAGATCTTTTCCAAACCACTCTGCGACAATAAGCATCGGATCTTCTCCAGTAAAGTCTGCGACAATAAGCATCGGATCTTCTCCAGTAAAGACCGATTCAACCTCTCTGCCACCCCATTTTGCTGCGGTGTATGACTAACCGTGAAGTGTCTCTCTATGCCCTCGTCTCGACATAGCTGCTGAAAGGGGTCAGAAGTATACTCACCACCGTTGTCGGATCGCAACGTCTTGATCTTTCTCCCAGTCTGCAGTTCCAATCTCTTCTTCCACTCCACAAACAAATCTAGGACTTCACTCTTCTTCGTCATGGTGTACACCCAACAACGCCTAGAATAGTCATCTACAAAAGTGATGAACCAATGTCTACCACCAAGTGATGCAGTCTTGGTAGGACCCCAAACGTCTGTGTGCACGTAGTCCAGAATGCCCCTCGTCTGATGAATGACAGTCCCGAACTTCACCTTCGTCTTCTTGCCAAGAATACAATGCTCACAGAACTCAATCTTCCCACTATTGGCTCCATTCAATAGCCCCTGCTTGCACAATGCCTGCAGTGACTTTTCACCTGTGTGCCCCAATCTATAGTGCCAAATTCTCCACCTCGTGAAGTTTCTGCCAAAACTGAGCCGACACCAAAGCATTCCAATGTCCCAACTTATTGTGTCAGGTACGAACTCAATCCACAAAAAGTCGAGAACGCCGAACGAGAGTCCAAACAATCTCACCCCCATCAAAACAACTAATCCAAACCGGGGTCTGCATCTGAAAGATTGCCTACGTATCCTCTTGCCCAAAGGAATCAAGAGCCGAACGTAGTTCAGCGCCAAATGGGGCCGCCACGGCCTCAACAATCACGATGTGCAACAAGTTTCAGACAATGATCAAACTTGTTACGGTGGGAACCACCTTAGGAGCAATGATCTGCCGGAATATCCTTCCGTGTGGACTTTCACAATCTCCACATCGCACTTCAGAAACTCCCGAACGAAGGATAAGACGTCATGTGCTTCGTCCATCGCAGGAAAAACCTGATTCTTCGCCAAAATAGAATAGGCACTCATGCTATCACAGATGAATAGTGACGGACCTCTGGCGAATAGCGCGAAGTCCTCCAAAATCGGCTCTGGAAGCGCAAGATGACGCTCCCACAGCCCGTAGACTGTCCAGATATTCTGCCTCCAGTGACAGAAGCGGCACGGGAGACTGTAAGGTCATC